ATTAAAGAACCCTAAGTCATAAGTGGCTAACATATTGGCCAATTAAAATGCGAAATTCAAGTCAGAGTTTGTTTCCGAGCTTAGTTAAATGTATGTTTAAAATCATTTCGCGACGTCATAATAACAGCTTAAAGCTTTAGAAAGCTATTAAATAGTTGTAACATCGGCGAAATCGCTTGAAAAGCTAAGCCTATTATAAACGGCCACTTCTCAGCGAGTTTACTACAGACCAGTCGGTCATTAACGCGGTATTGATATTATGACAGTTGCGTTTGTTGCCGCTTTACTACTATTTGCTTTCAAATACACAACCATTTACTATATTTTATTATTTGTATGCATAATTATATCGTTTAAACGGCTTCTTCTGTTAAATCACTTTGTATGTATATATATATATATATGTGTGTGTGTATATATATGTATGTTGCTAAGCGCAAAACTCGAGAACGGCTCGACCAATTCAGCTACTTTTTCATATGTTCCTTAAGGTACACGGAAAGTTTTAATAAAGAGAAATAATATAAAATAAGGTAAATATATATTTAAAATAAAGTCGTGATAGTTACACTATTTATAACTCAAGAAAGGCTGGACCAATTTTTATGATATTTGATTTTTTGGATTTCTCTTAGTCCGGAATAGGATAATAAGTATTGAAACATCAGAAAAATTAACAAGAAATAATTAAAATTTATATGGCTAACGCTGGCTAGTAACTATTTATATCTATTTAAAACGTACCTACTCTTTAAATAAATTAAAGTTTAAATTAAATAAATAACATTACATATTTAATTATAAAACACAGTAAAATTAAATAATGATTAAAATCAACAAATATTGTAAGGTACTATAATGCCATTTTTGAATTTTTGAAATCATTTTTTAAAATTGTGGGTAGGCACTGTCTGTATATATATAATGTCTTTTAGACCTCAAAAACCTTAGTTTCTTCCGTGGCCATGATTGAAACGTCGGGAACCAAAAATTAAAATAAATCCGGTAAATAATCCGAAAAGATAGTTTTATTTACAATTCAGGTAATGTAAAGAAATAATATTTGCCTACTACTTTATTTAGTTGATATTATGAACTACATATTTTTTCATTCTTATGTTCTCTTCATTGTACCTATATTATGTTTATTCTAGAAAGGCCCCGCACGCGTAGTTCAACTATGTATTACTATATCTTTAACAATTATATCCTTTGTGTTACTTTTATGTATACGCTAATATTACTGTAAAGTTTAGTGAAAATCTGTTCCGATGATTTTTCGTGAAAGAGTAACAAACATCCATTCATCCATTCTCAAAATCAAAATAAAAACATATCTATCCTACGGGAACTATACATTTTTCCGGGATCAAAAGTAACCTATGTGCTAAATTTCATCCATGGAAGTAGGTTAGAAATGAGTTCAAAGAATAAAGTTCATAGTTGAATGCTCTTTCATATATTCAATTTGCAGTTATAATCTAACGATATAAATAAATGCTTTTGTCACTTTTAAACCACGAAATCTGTAATTTTTCTTTTTTTCCATTCGTAATATTACCAAAGTTACCTTTTATCTCGCGTGGAATCGAACACGTTGCCCCCTGCATAGTAGGCTGTGCAAAATAAAATTTTCCTATTTAAATAAATGGTGAACGCAATGAATTCCATAAATCATTCAAAATTTATACCATTTAGAGGTAAATATGTTTTTGCAAGTACTATATAAGTCTAGCCAGCCAGGTCATTAACGAGTAACGATGTTTTGACAGTTGCGCGGGCGCAGCAATAAATGCTATACAAACACACAAACGTCTCGTACTAAACCATAGAAGGTTAAGAAGGGCTCATATTGTTTCTAACAAAGTACTGTTAATGGAAATATTATATAATTAGGAAAAAAGTATTATCTATCTATGCATATAATAAAATTCTGAGTCGACTTTGTTCCTTAAATATTTTTTGAAAATCTTATTGAAATAGTTGTTTGTATCGATACGGAGTCCGAATATTTAGAAGTTTTTAGATTTTTTGTACACAACAACGCATCACGAGAAAACCACTGGATAGATCTTGATGAAATTTGGTATGATGATAGCTGGTTATGTGGGTCAAAATATAGTATACTTTTTACTGCGGGAAAATATCTCATCTCTATATCTAGAAATTCATGCTAAACGTAAAAACGTATCTAGGGACGAACCCGAGCGGAGCGAGGGTGAGACGCTAGTTTATAATAAAAATAATGTGAAATTAATTTATATATTTATATATTTTCATGAATAATTCGAATAAAATACTACAATGTAATTTATACCTATAATTTCGCTACGAATCCGTAAAATGTCAATGGTAGTATAAAAATCGCTTTATTTATAACAAAACAATTCATTACAGAAGTTACATTTTATTAGACATTATCCCAGAATGACTCACTATAATCCTGGCAGATCCGTCCAATAATGCGTAAATCTCTCCCCACTGTTTTGTGGGGCAATTAATTCTGTACTAAATACTAAAATAAGTTTATTTCACTCTAAACGTAAAGTGTGAGCGAAAATCATCTTTCAAAAACGGTTTCTTATATGGAATTGGCGTCTGCATAAAAAGTTAGATTTTGAAATTTTTAAACAGTAGAATAAACATAAATATATTTTACCCATATAAGACACATGATTGTGATTGTGATCTATGTTGTTAATTAACTAATTCTTTATTAAGAATTTGAGAGAAGTTAATTTTTGACAACTGCTCTATTACGAACTTCAATAGAAATAGTGCATAATGTTGTAATTTTAATGTAGTTAAATATTTTTTAGAGTCCATTCAAAAATCCAAATATAATCCTTAAAAAACAAACTTATTTATATAATAGACTTGTGTGAAATAAATGAAGTCTGAATCAAAACAACCTTATAAGTTCTAAAACTAATTGAATTTAGGCATTCAACTTGTCTACTTGTGATGCATAATTTAAATGATCTATAATCTATATATGTAAATTGATTCATAATGATAGAAACGTTTCATAACTGCAGTGACCTATTTACATTCAAACAAAACAAATTAATCCCCTTCAACGCAGTATGCACGAATTATTGCGCGTGCGCAATAGCTTTACTGATTATTAGCTGTTACCCATGGTTTTGTCTATGAGTACCCCTTTAGTACCTATAAGTAGACATACGTTTAAATCTTCTAGATCTAGACTTATTAAAATGTAACTTGATGACGCTATTATTTCAAATTAATTACATAATAAAAATTTCTATCGACATATATTTAGTACATTTGAGTGATGTTCATACATATGCAGATATTACATATATTGAAATTGATTACATCGTACACATCTTCAGTTTTTTTTAAATATTCAATATGTATTTTAAACATATTACTTACTACATATTATATATATCGTTAAGAAGATTACCTACGTGATATAGTATTTTCTTTGATTCCTAAATTCGGAAGAATATATTTATATATGACTAGTACAAACATTCAGCCTCGAGGTCAAATACTATATCTTCCTGCTTAATGCGTACTCGTAAATCGTATTATGCAAAATTACAGAAAGCACCTATAGGTGTTTTATTTTACTATACCTGTCTTTCTTCCACTAAACTTATAATGATTAATTGCTCAATTTGGAATATACTGACACACAGTCCTAGTTGTAGAAAATATAAGAATAAACACTCTGTGGCGTTGTGCCAAGTTGCGCTTGCGCATCTGCCAGCGAATAAATTTTAGTATTACACGATGCGAGAATAATAAGTGGGACGGTGACAATTGATAAACTTCCGTGTTGATGTGAGATTTGAGTTTTCTAAAATTATATTATAATCATAATTTTAACTTATAAAAAATATATTAATAAGGTTTTTATTAGATAATTATAATATGTATAATGTATATAGATACATATCTGCCGCCGATAAGGCTTGTTTGAGAGAGAAAAAGTTGAAATTAATTGGATATAATTGCTTATCTTTTAATAAATACATCTTTTCAAAATACAAATACATAATCTTAATAAATGTTTACGTCAAAAACCAATTAGTATAGATAATCTTCTAAATCTAATGACTAAAAGCCTTTTCCACATTATTATAGTAATAACAACAAAAACACTCGTACTAAATTTTATTTGTACTTAAATTTGTTCCTATTGGAAAGATTTAATTCCCTAAGAGTCAGCGCTTTTTTATTTTACTACGACATTAACTATATAATTGTACCTTTCTATTTATGTACCTCCACTTAGGAATATTATTGCCTAGCGCCTGATCATTTCGAATAGCAATTTGTTTTTATTGTAAATATTGCTTTATTTAATTTTGGTTAGATGTAAGTACTTATAATAGTAATATTTAACAAATAAGATCGAAATAGATATTTTATTTTATAAGCTGTTTAAAAATATCATTATGATATACAAAATTAATAAAAGAAGAGATGAGATACACTTTTATTTTCTTAGATGAATTATACCATAAAATTACTATGAACGTAGTAACTTCATAACACAAGTGATACATGGTTCATCGACTCAAATGATTCACTTCGCGCTCGAACAAAGGATTTACACGTGCGGGTTTTTAGAAAAGCTGTATTTAAAGTATTTGCACATTAGCACGTACTTGTTTAATGTTACTGATAACGTTCGCCCAGAAATATTTTAATTGGTTTTAAGCTTTTCAGTTTAATAACTCGTTATTATGGTTTGAAATCAAACCGAAGCTAGTAGGTTCGATTCTCATGTAACAAATGTTCGTATACAATACACATTTTTATTCAAATTAGCACACCATAATAATGGCGGAAAGCAAAAATACGATGATTACGAACGATTAATATCTATTTGAAATACAATTGTCAGTCTAGATCTAGGAATTTGTATCTAGGAATAATATATTTAAAAGCATATACTTTTATCTTATAAAAATAACTATAATATGATATAGTGTTTCTACTTTCTAAGATACTATACTTACCACATCTTCATCGATCACTCCATCAGCCACATCCGTCCCGCCCTTATCCCGCCAATGTTTCTCGCTGGTCACTGAAAAGTTGAATGATCTTTCACGCCTTGGACTTAAAAGGACTCCAGCAGGTGTTCTTCCATATCTAAATATCTCTAAGTTTGTAGTTGAGAATCTATCATTGCCACTGTCACTTCTTGTGAACACGTCATCTTCTAGGTCGCTGTCGAAGTTCAGGGTCAGCGGAGGTGAGGATGCTGACAGCCGACATTGTTGGGGTGGTGGACCCTGGCGTGGGATGTCAGATTCGGAGTATGGACGGTCTGAAACAAACACAATGTTGAAGTTAGAATTCGCTTAATAAAATCTAAAAACTAACCCGAAACTGACCCGACAGAATTTGTCTTGTCCCCAAAAGGTTTGTTTGAAGCACAGATTATATAATACTATACCTACTAGGTTTGAATTCAGAGAATTAGGTCAGAGATTCATGCAAAAATTCAGAAAGCTATTTATTTTTTTCAGAATTTCCCAATTTGTTTAATAGTTTAGTTTTAGCATAAAAATATTCAGACTCATACGACCACTTAAAATAATATTTATATACATTTACGCTTAAATAAATTATTTAAGCTTAAAAACATTTTTCCCAGTGAAAAAAATGTTATATTGCTACCAAAATATGAAAATAAATTATATTTATTATTTTATCTATGTATTTTGTGATAATTAAAAACATTTACATAAATAAATAAAAATATTCGCATAAAGAGAATATAGTGTTGACAAAGTTTGTGGTTAAGGTCCCCTTTTAAGCGAGAAAATTTTGCCTGTATTAGAAGACCCTGCCCATCATTTATCGTCCATATAGCCCATCATCGTGGTATTTATGATATTTAATTTGATTAATAGTTATTGTATATTTTACGCACAACATCATGTTAATCGGCTCAGTAAACGACCTAGAAAATTTCCACTATCTAAAAAAGCTTAAAATCATACTTTGTGCTAAAACTTATTTTTCAGTCATTAAAAGTGCCTTTAAAATCTAAAACCGTATAATTATTAAAATAAAACATCGATTGGGACTGTTTTAATTTTAATAATAATTTTGAAGACACTTGAAGTACTTTACTAAGTTAGATTAATGATGGAGGAATAAAGCGTTTGTGTCGTAGTGACATCCAGATAAGAAGTCCTATACAAATAGGTAGCGTTGAAATGTTCACCATAAGGTTGCCTTTATAAATTTAGATTTTGAAATTATATAATATCTATTTTACAGTTGTAGTTGAATGTATCAGAAAATAAATTCATATTTTATTTTTAAATTTTTCAAATTTTAGTAACATCTATTAAAAGAATTTTGATTTATTAGTGTTATGATAAAAAAAACATACTGACTTTCTTAAGTATACTCGATTTATAAATCTAAATTTAAAATATTTTATTCGGCATTAAATTATTACAATGTTAACTGAACGTTATGAGTTTAACAGTAACATAAGCTCGGAAAAAGCCTCAGGCCTGAGAAGAACTGGCGAAAGAAACTCAGTGGGACCAGAAGACTTACTTTATTGTAAGTAAAAATATAAAGTAGGTTTACATTATAGTACTACAACATTGAAGTAGCATGGCGGCGACCACATTGTTCCCAAAGCCTGCCAGTTTATTCTATAAAATGATTAATCTAACCTTTAGCACACAAATGTACTTTATTTATATAGGCTCTATTAGTCATATTATATTTTATATTTGATCAATCTATTATATATTAATATTGCATGAAAATTAAATCGGTAACATTTAAATCTTTTTATAACCCTGTCTTATCTTCTAAACTAATCATATATTTTTTTATTTAGATCTAAGCCAGGTAAAGCCGAGTGCAATATTTATATTTAACTAACACTGCCAGTGTTATAAGAGCTTTATAAAACCCTGCGCTGCAAAACCCGTTTTGTCATGAGCCTGACACACGTGCACGGACCGGTCACTGTGCGAGCGAGATGAACGCAACGACCATATTATTGTGGATGCGGCTGATAACCGTATTTACGTTTTATTATGCAATATTACTATGTTGTTTTATTTGTTTTAAGTGTGAATTATCAATGTAACTTACATGTTAGTACTGTGTAATGAGTTCGATTCTCGATTAAAATTTTATTATAATATGTTTATAATTTTAATTTTCAAGCACTTTTATCAATTTTGTATATATTAGTGGACGTTTCACCTGCAGTCATATTTTTTCTGTATTCATACTATGATGTATATACACATATATATCACATATATAAGTAAAGTATTTAAATAGACAAAAAAAAAACAGTCCAGTATCTTTTCCTCCTCTGTACGTCAAACGATTTTCTTTGTTTTTGCTTAGTTTTGCTTAGTAGCTATTGACGAGCTTTAGTGTTATCAATAAAAAAACAATAATAATTATGATCGAAAATCGACTACTGATCGGACAGTAGTCTAAGTAAATAAGTAACAAATTTTATTACAGCAATATTAAAATGTTCTTAGGCTATGTTAAGTCATTCCAAGTTTATTGATATAAAAGATAAGGCTAATGTACGTCGTATACAACAAGTGTTGAAGATAAACGTCCGCTCTATTGTATCACGTGCGTGTACACGTGACGTTATTATGCGCTCATATCACGTCATTACATGCAGTTCCTTAATAACTTCTAGTAATTTTGTAATATGATTCCAATAGGTACTGGTAGCTTTTTAGTTAAGTAACTGCAGTGTTAAAATGCGAAATTTTATGAAACTCTTTTAAATGAATTAGTTAGAGAATTTGTTCCATTATAAACTGTATCAGAATAAAAGATTTAAATTAAATTCAGAAAGAAAGGTAGCTTTTATTATCCTACATTCAGAAATATACTCATTTTTGTCAACGTGTTACGAACTAATGAAAAATATTACTAATAAAATTTGTAATTGTTTCATGTATTCAGGTACCTGTTCAATCAGTCATTTATATCGCTTTAAATTTATATTAGTGGGAATAAAAAAAACAATCCAAATAAAAAATTCGTTATTATAAATAAATGCGTGAACAAGTACTTGTGTTAAAAAATGCATAATATCAACGTTATAAGATTATTTTCTTATGAAATAAAACTTTTGATACATTAAAATGTACTTACTGAAATTAAAGGTCATGAGTTTCAATTCCCACGGAAATATATTTGGTAGTTATATATAGTTTGTTTGCATAAAATATATTTGGCATATTACTCTAGTTCTACTACTAGTACTACTGTTCAGTAGTAAAGCGCATAACAAGCGTCTATCAGTCAGTCCACGTATACGAGTATGCTACATAGGTATAACACAGAATGGCCCGTAACGATATCATTGCGTTCTATTTTTTACAGTGCTATGAACAAAAATTTTTAGTAAAAACAAAAAAAAACTTTAGTTTTGACAAGCTTTTCATTAATAAAGCCCTCGGAAATTATTTAGAGTCTAACACCTTATAAAGTTAATATTGTATTATCACTTTGTATTATTATAACGTTAACTTTTACCAAATGTAGATGTTGACACAATTTACTCGTTTTCGAACTTTAATTTTATACAAAATGAACAGAATTTTTTAAGGTCAGGTCCATATTATTCCCCCACAATGCAATGCTAGGCTTTTTTCTTTACTGCATGCGTAACACAGGTGTTCTAGCCGTACACAATATTATTATTTATCGTTTTTAATGTACCTATATACATTTTATTTTCAAAGTATTCTTTTATGTATAGAGAAACCAATGCAACTTTATTAATAAAATATGTTGACACACACAGCACCATCTAGTTCCATGGTAAGCTATATATTTTTACTTTAAATACATACATACATATTATAAATATAAACAGTAAACACCCATGACTGGAGTAGAAACATTCGTGCTTATCACACAAACGAATGCCCCCAGCGGATCGAACCCGCGACCGCTGGCACAGCAGTAGGGTCACTACAAACTGAGCCAAACGTGTCGTCGAAACATGAACGTACGTAGTGATTTTTTACAATGTTCTTATATTCAATTAGAGAAGCTTGAAATAAAAATGTATAAAATGCATTTTGGTACTCTTCGGCCAGCTGTATCTATGGAAAAAGGATTAACATCAAACTAACATACACACGTTAGTATTTAGTAAGGATCACTCGTCTATCCTGTTAATAGCTTTTGAAAGCTTAAGCTTGCTCCTTTTAAAGTAAAACGATATAATGGTCCACTTCAACGGTATTTTATTAATTACTAGCGATTCACTGTCGCTCCGCTCGGGTTCGTCCCTAGTTATATTTTAACGGTTAGTATAGATTTCAGAGATGAGATATTTTCCCGCAGTAAAAAGTATCCTAAATGTTGACCCGGATAACCAGTTGTCATCATACCTCATCAAAATCTGTTCCGTAGAAGACCGACGAACAGACAGACAGACAGATAAAAATTCTAAAAATTATAGATTCGGCCTCTGTATCGATAATAAAGTCTATTTCACTAAGATTTTCGAAAATTGAAATTTGATGTACAGATTCGACTCGGTTAGAATATTATTGTATGTATACCTACCTAGATTATCGAAAAATATGTACCTATGTACCTAATCTAAAATAATAAATAATAATCATAAAAGAAAAATCACTCAGTGACTGTATTGACTCACTAACTGAATGAAGTGTCAAATCAAAAATATAGGAGCCCTGATACGGAAGGACTTCTTAATATGTAATTTTTTTTTGTGAAACCTGTAAGAAATAAATAAAATCAAAGCGGGCATCGAACCTAAAGCATTATTCATTGCATAGCATTGTCGGTTTACGATAGCTAGTTTCAAAATAATAGATTCTAAACTAATAACATAACTGCAATCTAGAAGAATGACCTAGGACTTCCTGAGAGGTCTAAACTCAAGGGTATAATTTATTAGCAACCGAAGATACGTCGGCTTTGAATGATGCTGTTGGATATTATAGTGATTATTAAACATCCTTATTAAGCACTGTGATGGATAATAGCAGGTTTTAAGATCGTACAAAGAGTATATGCCTTTAATTTATTTTGTACCCTTCCTCTTACACTTTACGCTATATCGCTTCAGAGTTGAGAAAACTGCTTGAATCGTATAATTTATCTCATTTTGAGCGAGTTGTTAAAGGCGTGTGTTAGTATTTTGGAGAAATTCAGAACTTATTTTGAAAATCTTTCATTAATAACGTATTAAAACTTAAAAGATACGTTATTACTTATTTTTTATCTTGATATAATATTAGGTGCTATAAAAATTGTGTACATATGAGATGTATTAGAGTTTGAAGAAAACGAGAGCTAAGCTAGGTAGATAAAAGGATTCGTGGCCTCCATCGAGTCTTCGTCTATATCACTAGACTTTTTTTTTGTATGTAAATCACTAAATTTAAATATTTAATAATTATTAACACACACTTTTTCAATAGATACTAATTTTTAACGATGTCCGTATATAAAAAAATTGATTCCCTACATAATCATTAAAGCAAACTTTAAAATCTTAAAAATTGCAACTACTACACGTTAAGAGAGGTTAGTACAAAGTTTAAAAGATATGATAAAATAAACAAAGGTTACCTAACTAAGCCCATGGCTGTAAACGGCCAGTTTATGACCCCCATAAATCATTATCGATCAGATAGCTGCGTCGAGTAGTACGTGTAGTATGGGGAAATAAAAATAGTATGCTACTAGAAAATTTTATACTCGAGTGTCAGATATAGATCCACTATCTAACTCGTATCATATTTTTCTTTTAATACTATACTTTGCCACGGCTCTACTTGGACTTGCGTTAAAAATTAACATATATGTTAATCCAAGTATAAGCAATCTCTTTTTAAATTTTCACTTTAATTTGCTAAGCAATTATAACATGAAGAATAACAAACACACGCAAAAATTCAAATTTATAATATTGGTGGTGTATTACAGTGGGTGTCTGTATCTTTAAATAAAGGATTTAAATAAGAGTACTTGAAATTAAATTCTATATATTATATATACATTTTATATTATCAGAGGATAATATTTAAAAGCGTAACACTGTAAAAGAAACGAAATAAGCTAAAAATCTCAATTATAAAGTTTCCCAAGTTCCTTCTAAGTTTCAGTGTATGATGTAGGTACATGAGCTCTTCCCACGTACCCACGAGTATATGACACTAAAATGAGTTTCTAACTAATTTTAACATATTTCACTCACATTTAATGAGTGATAAATCTAATAATAATTACAACACTTAACTTCATAGAAAATATGCAATATGGTAAATGATATTAAATCATTATTTTATTATATTTAATAACATAAAATATTATGAAAATTTACTAATTAAAAATAGTAAATTATTATCTTTTACTTAATTAACATCTATATATTACTTATAATAAAAATGGACGATATTTGAATAAAACGATTATTGGGGGTGTTTATTAACGCAATAGTACCCAAAACAATGATTTTCAACCTACTTCAAAAGGTTCTCAATTCGACTGTATTTTTTTTAATTAGAAGAGAAGCTTGCTTCCCAATAAAAACTTTCATTCTCACCTCTTTAAGGGATGATTTCCAGGATAAAAGTATCCTATGTCCTTCTCAGGGTCTCAAACTATCTTCTTAAGAAATTTCATCTAAATCGGTTCAGTAGATCCAGAGATTACCTACGCCCTACAACGTCACAAGCTCACAAACTCTACCTCTTTATAATATTAGTATAGACTAACGTTAAATCGTATCTAAGGACGAACTCGAGCGAAGCAACGGCGAGTTACTAGTTTAAAATACTTTAAGAATGTATAAAATTTAAAAGAAATGGTCACTTTGAATTCTCACACAACGTATTCAACTGACCGCATCTCAATAGTATTAATCATATAATCATTTGTCATTCTATTTGTCCCTATGCTTTTCCACGAGACCAATCAATGACTCGACACAATCAAATCATATTAAGTGGATAATTAAATACCTGTATCAAGCACAAAAGGTACTGAGAAGATAATAAAGACGAGATTTAGAATCCAGTTAAATTTTAACTATAAGAGTTTATTCTTCAATAGTTATATAACTGTTAAGTCATCAAATCATCTCGTTTTATAATTGTTAAGCTTCTATCAATTACATAATCTTTACTTTTCATAGTATTTGAAGGGAGAGTAACAGGTAATTTTACTGTACGGTTAAAATTACCGATT